TATAAAACAGAAACATCAAACTAGGTATGGCAGCAATATTAATGTTTCTGTTCCTAATTCTTCCACTCCTTGTAATCCATTGTGTCTTAGTGGCTTTACTATCTTGCATGGGGTGACATTGATTAAAAAAAAAATCCTCGTTATCTTCATATTCTCCCACTTGTCACTCCCTCATCATTACAATTCTCACACTAACCACTAGCCTGAAGGATTCTCGAGCCTTTTAATGAAATTTATGTAATATGTACTCAACATTGAATATCAGACGGAGGGATGCGTTTTAGATATTTTAATTGCAAAATAAGTATCAGTCTATATTTCTGAGATGATGTATTATGTACACTATTTACATTATTCCGACTATTTTCCTCATCTTTGTTGCCATATTTAGCATAACGTTTCGAGCATTGTACACTCCGGTCTTCTTCAAGTGGAGAACTTGGAGGGGTGAATTAAGAGGAGATAACTGATAATTGACATCCATTAGACATGGCACGTGGAACTAGAACAGGCTACCCCAGCGAGCGAAATAATGGGTTTAGATCGACATTCTAACCACCTGAAGAAGGCCGGAGCGTACAACGGCCGAAACGTTGTAATAAATATGGTGACAAAGATGAGGACCATAGTCTGAATAATAGGGTGAAAAATAAGTGTTTTGTCTTCCCTCAAATACGGACAGTAATCTGATCGCACAATCATGCAGTTTCACACAATGACAAAATTATAAAGGGGAGTAAATCTTATTTTCCTTTTGTATCCATAATTGCAGTGCATGTTTTATTGTAAACTAGCTTAAAAATAAAACCTATAATATGGAATAAAATTAGTTATGTGTCTCTAATTCTTCAAATGTTGAATGTATAACTAATTCTAATTTCTATTTTCCCATTTTTACACAATATTAATTTTATCTTATGAATTCTCCTCTGTTCTGTCACCCATGAAATAAAAATAATTGTTTGTACGGAAAATAAGGATCTACGTACATCAAATCGTCTTTAAATTAAGTGGCAACAGAAGAATTATCATTGAACTCTTAAATGGTAAGCTTAAACATTAATTCAATACTTAAATGCAGCGATCAATTTTGAGTTCTTCTGTAGTTTATTGATGCCTATCGCATCTACTTCTCCATACCTATTGTGATAATAGTCAAACCAAGTGTCCTTCACAGGAGCTAGCTTAAATGCCGCCATCATAGGGCAGCTTTTAAGCTCGTAATGATATAAAATAGCAGAGAGAAAAACTTGCGGACAAGAGCACGCTTAAATTTCTCTTCCTGCACAGTGGATAAAGGCGTTAGTTAGATCCAGTGACAGGATACAAAGAGTTTGAGTTCAATATCCGGTTAAGGCAGTGGAGAACTTGGATAGGGGAATTAACAGGATATAACTGATAACTGACATCGATTAAACATGGCACGTGGAACTAGAACAGCCTACCCCAGTGAGCGAAATAAAGGCTTCAGTTCGACATTCTAACCATCTGAAGAAGGCCAGAGTGTACAACGGCCGAAAGGTTGTAATAAATATGTCGACAAAGATGAGGACAATAGTCTGAATAATGTAAATAATGTACATAATACCTCATCTGAGAAATATAGACAGATACTGAAAAGCCGAAACGTTGTAATAAATATGGCGACGAAGATGAGGACAATAGTCCGAATAATGTAACTAGTGTACATAATACCTCATCTCAGAAATATAGAGAGATACTGAAAGGCCGAAACGTTGTAATAAATATGGTGACAAAGATGAGGACAATAGTTCGAATAATGTAAATAGTGTACATAATACCTCATCTCAGAAATATAGACAGATACTGAAAAGCCGAAACGCTGTAAGAAATATGGCGACAAAGATGAGGACAATAGTCTGAATAATGTAAATAATGTACATAATACCTCATCTCAGAAATATAGACAGATAAAAAAGTTTTATTCCGACAGAAATTAAATGGCATAAACACTAAAAAGACAGGCATCCCAAAGCAGACAAATTATAAACAAGATGAATTTACTATCCTTTGCATCATTAAAAAAATACAATTCACCCGTCAACCCGAGCAAATATGTAAAACATACTACAGAAGATGAAAAATGACAACCTCATTGTAATGACTAAAGTACGCAGATGTAGGATTTAAGAAAGCTTTATTCAATTGAGAATAAAATGTTCGCGTATAGTGTTCTTTTGTAGTCCCAGTAAACAGAAATAGATCTCTCAAAGAGGAGAGTAACAAAACAATTGGAGACCACTTTTGATAATACAAAATAATAATAAAAATTGTAATGACAAATGTATGCAGGTGTACGCTTTAAGAAAGCTTTATACAATTGAGAATACAAGGTTGGCGTATAGTGTCCTTTTATAGTCTTAGTAAACACAAATAGCTGTCTGAAAAGTGTAACAAAACAAGAAGAGATCACTCATAAATGCCAATAACAACAACCCATCGAATCCAAACTTCAAGCCAGCAATTTAGTTTATCAATTTCATTTCCCCATACAATTTTTTTAATGAAAAAAAAAAACAACAAAAAGCTACATTGGTCAGATGACGATGTCGACTGACAAACCATTTAATAAAACTGGTTTTGATATGGACACATTTAAACACTCATACACAAATACCTATTCCTATAAGAAAAATCCTTGGCGATAACACTGTCATTCAATAAATATCTAATTGTAAAAGCCGTTTTAAGATAATCGAAACACTGTATATCAATCGGTTTAAGCCAAGTCTAAATCTTAGCTATTTCGAAAGCGAGAAAAACGTGTTCGTTGTGTTTAAAAGGCGCCACTGACTGAGATTAGTATTACTCCCATCCAACAGAGCATAGAATTATTGCTACTCATACAAAATACAAATTATAACACCTTTGTGACAGTGAGGATACCTTGAGGATGATGTAATATTGCAGGGATAACAAAAAGCACTTTTTCAATAGAGGACACTTAACATCATCTTTCTGGTGAAAATGCTTTTTAACGGATAAAAATAGCATCATCTGATAACAGTGCAGAGGATCCGAAAAGAGTTAGATGAGTCTTATGATGATTACGATGGTACGGCAGCTCGGAAAACTCACTCTGATCGTTCTGATAAGAAACGTACCCAGGAATTTGTTAGTGAGGGCCTCAGAGACAATGGAGGCCTACATCAAGTCTCTGAATGAAGTAGTGTTGCCTTGGACCAAGAGGATGAGTTCTGGAAGATCCTATGACAGGCAACAGGACACTGCACCCTGCTACAAAAGCAGGGAAACCCAGTCATGGCTGTCAGACAATTTCTATGACCACATAACCCTTTACATCTGTCCATCTAACTCCTCAGACTGCAACCCACTTGATTATTATGTGTAGGGTGCAGTTGATCGAGAGACCAACAAAACTCCTTGTAACACCAAAGATGAACTGAACGCAAGGATTATGTCAGCATTCCCCAACTTAAACAAGGAGACCATCCAGAAGAGTTGCAGATGTCGAAGTCGTCTGGAGGCCGTAGTTGAAGCAAATGAAGATTTCATTGAATAGATTTACTCTTTAGTATTTCAATATATTTTTATGTAATGGTGGCAAATATATCTGTTAAAATGAGATGCCAGTGTTGTTTTTATTTTTTGCCTGATGTATACAGCAATATATCTATCTCACTATAGTATATTAAAAACTGAAGCCCCATAATTAGCAATAACACTTATGAAAAAAAATCTTTCGACTTCCTTTCTTGTTTTAATTATTATTAAAACTTCCATGTTACTGACTTATTCAGTCCATGATATTCTCAGCATCTTTCTGTAGATTCACATTCTTTTTGCAGCAAATCTCTTCAGCTGTAAAGAGATTTCCCGCCATTCACTGTCACATAAGAGACTTTACACTACATAACATTAATCGTTTCTTTGTTTCGTGTGTCTCTTATTTTTGCAAAGACATATTTCCCGATGCAAATTCGGCTTCGGATGTCACATTTTCCATCCTCTGTTGAAACACTCATTACAAATTTTATTCTACAAAATTAAAAAATCTGTTTATATTTCTGAGATGAGGTATTATGTACACTATTTACATTATTCGGACTATTGTCCTCATCTTTGTCGCCATATTTATTACAACCTTTCAGATCCTTCAATATATGTCTATATTTCTGAGATGAGATATTATGTACACTATTTACATTATTCGGACTATTGTCCTCATCTTTGTCGCCATATTTATCACAACGTTTCGGCTGTTGTACGCTCCGGGCTTCTTCAGGTGGTTGGAATGTCCATTATTATTATCGAAATAAAGGTTTCAGTTCGACATACCAATTATGGGCTGCAGAAGTGATTTTGGATTTTATTGTTTATTAATTATTTGCTCTATAATAATAAATACATTGAGCTCTTTTTGTGGACCAGTTTTAATATTTTATATCATGTGAGTTACCTTAGATTATGTACCAACAAATATATATATATATATATATATATATATATATATATATATATATATATATATATATATATATATATATACAAATGTTTAGAGGTACAAAATTTATATAAACAAACAAGTGTATACACTTGTTTGTTTTTTTTTAGTCTGTTTCCCCCTCTTTTTACTCTTCATTGTCGTTAATATTCTTTTCGTTGATCCAACGATTGTCTCCTGATGAGATGTTGGTTGAAAGGGCCTTAGGGACTTTTAAAATTAAAATCAATACATTCCTTGTTTTTAAAACTATATATATATATATATATATATATATACCAGCATTTTCCTTACTAAGATTTTTCAAATGCGCCGGCTGATAGACTGTTTAACAAGTAAAAATGGGATGTATATTACAAATAAGAAGTGTCCACTACAACATGATGTATTAGATATATATATATATATATATATATATATATATATATATATGTGTGTGTGTGTGTGTGTGTGTGTGTGTGTGTGTGTGTGTGTGTGTGTGTCGGGAAAGAGGAAAAATAAGAAAAGGAAGAACAGGAGAAAGGAGAAAAACAGCAAAGAGCCAGAGAGGTAGACAGAAAGAAAGAAAGAAAGAACGAAAGAAAGAAAGAATGAGTGAATGAAATTTCAGCTAAAGAAAGAAATTTCAGCCAAGGAAAGGAGGAAAGAAAAGATTTTGGTTTAAGGTAAGAAGAAAAGAAAGAACGAAAGACTTTACCGTGAGGGAAAAAGAAAGCAGAAGGAAAGAAAAACGATTTTTATAAAAACGAATGGTATTTCAGTCAATGAAAGAAACACAGTAAGAAAGATATGCTAGTCACGTATAGAAAGACATTTAAAAGGAATTAATAACTCAATAAACAAATGAGGAAAGAAAGAAAAAAAGAAAGAAAGAAAGAAAGACAGGAAGAATATTAAGAATGATATGAAGAAGACTTTTCATTTCTAAATATAAGGAAGAAAATTAACGCCATGGGTAAGAAGAATGGGGAAATCGCAAAAAATACAAGGTAAAAAAAATGCAGGTTGAATTAAAAGAAAAATGAAAAGCAGAAAAATAGGAATGGAAGTAAAAAAACGAAATGGAAAAAAAAAAGGGAATGGAAGAAGAAAATCGAAAAAAGATGTAGCATAAAATCGAAAAGCTTCCCCCAAACGCAAATAAAAAAAGACGACCAAAAAAGAAAACCCCTAAACAATTCTCAAAGAAAGATACGAGAAAATTATCGGGCTAAAAAATTACTACCTACCGTCGTTATGTTTCTCTACCCACCGACACTGCACGCAGAATGATTTGAACTCACACCAGACCATTATTATACCGAGCATCGTTCTGGGATGAAGATGGCGATCGAAGCACCTCAACCCTATTCACAATGCCGCTATCATCAGCGTATTTCGACTCAACGCCCAACCCCGTTCCAATCTTGTCAACGTAACAAAATAAGCCTTCCCAAAATTAGGGCTTTTCACTCCTAATCTTGACACACCCACACACACACACATACAAAAAATAATACGTAGAAAACCATGTTGGGTGAGTAGTGGATAAAATAATAAAAAAAATATATATCAGGAAAGTTCCAAGAAAAAAAAATGTCCAATTTTCTTTTAAATTTATTTTTTCTGTTCCTTATCTCTTTTTTTTTGTCCCTTTCGTTTTCGTCCACCATTCCACCTCCACACACTCGTGTCCATTTGTCTTCCTTTTGCCAGGCTGCTAATAGTGTCCCGATCCATTATTTTATGCCCAATCTTTTCCGCGTTTGTTAATAGTTTTTTGTCTGTTCTTTACTCTCTGCAGCTCGGGTTTTGCGAAGAACGACACACACACAGACACACACACACATTCTAAATACCACTCTCTAAGAAAACAAAAGAAAAATTAAAACTAAAAGACAAAAAAAAAATATGGCGTACTGTTCTTTTTTGATGTTGACCACTTTCTCAAGGACTAATACTTTTAACGTGATACAAAGTACGTGGTTGGTAGAGAAAAATATCGAAGACGATTTTAAAATAGACTACCTCGCCAGGGATCATTTGTTAGGAAACGAATATAGATATTTAAAAATGATACTACATTGACTTTTATCCTTACTAGGGTACCATAAACCTGTGTCCGAATATTCTTACGAACCATCAATAAAACAGCTCGATCAGTATTTACTGGTTAACATATCTCGCAGATAATTAGTAGTGAGTACAAATCATACTAGGCCCTCAGTACTTATTTTTCTTTCATCTGAAGTAAGGTAATTAAAAAGAACTTCAATATAAAGTAAAGATTAGCAATTTATTGCAAAAGATTAATACTGTAGTGAGTTCAGTCCTGGATAGGCCCCAAACAGTACTTATGCTTGTATATTTTTCTCCCCAAGAGAAAGAAAATCTTGCCTTGGAGTAGTGGTTAAAAAGAATATAAGTAATATATTAAGTACGATTTTACAATCCGTTTCCGGCTTGTGGCATTGTGACAGTCTTCATACTTGTGGCATTATGATAGCCTTCGTACTTGTGACATTTCGACCTAGGGAAGAAACGTGACAAGCGTAAATTGCTACTCTTCCAGTGGCCTAGTCAGAGTCCTGACCGTAACCCAATTGAAAACATTTGGGTGATAATGGATAAGCGTACCCCTAATAGGAGAATCAACACAGAAGATTAGTTTTTCGCGAATTAAAGGAATGCTGGAGAAATCTGGCGAAGAACGTTGACTTACTAAAGAATTTACTCTATAGAATGCCACGAAGATTTAAGGCTGTTTTTAAAACAAAATACTGAATCATTTTTGACTTATAATGTACACATGTACTCGTGTATTAATAACTTGTATTAATAAACGAATTCTAGCAATTCATTCAAAAATATTTTTCATACTGTAGTGAGTTCAGTCCTGAATAGGCGCTCAGCAATACTTTACTTGTGCCTTTATATTCTCTAGCCAAGTGAAAGAAAATCTTGCCTTGGAGTAGTGGTTAGCAAGAGTGTGAGTAAATAATAAGTACCATGTTAAAGTCCATTTCGTGCTTGTGGCATTGTGACAGTCATCGTACTTGTGGCATTATGATAGCCTTCGTACTTGTGGCATTGTGACGCTTTCGTATTCATGACATTGGGACAGACTTCGGATTTGTGGCATTGTGACGCTTTCGTATTCATGGCATTGGGACAGACTTCGTACTTGTGGTATTGCAACAGCTTTCGCACTTGTGGCATTATGACAACCTTCGTACTTCTGTCATTGTGACAGCCTTCGTACTTGTGGCATTGTGACAGCTTTCGTGCTTGTGGCATTGTGAAAGCCTTCATGTTTTGGGCCTTGTGATAGTTTTAGTTAAATAAATTTTTTCGCCTGAGTAATGGAATCGAATCCTACAATGTATCCTGTTACCATCATCTTTATCAGACTAAGATAAACTCAGTGATATTTTTTTTTAGCTGAGAAATTATTCTTATTATATGCTTTACTATTTGAAAAGAGCTACTTTTCTTGATTGTCATAAGCAAAATTTTTTGGACGTTGACTCACCTAAGAGTCACATAACATACTGTATTAAATCATTGTAGGTTCAATCCCTGCGTCGGGTAGTGCTGAAATACTATATTCACAAATTTGGTGGAGGAAACGAGCAAGTAATACAAAGATGAATAAATCTGATATTACCTTAATGCTCTGTAAGTATTGAAAACAGGAGAATAATCCCGCTTCGTCGCTTGAATAAAGTGTTCGATACGAAATTCCAAGACACAAAGAGACCTGAAATGTACCGACCAAGAAAAAAATCATGGGCATTGACATGAAATATTGCCTAAACATGGTAAGTAGAAATTGAACAATCTACCCTTGTGAATTTAATAATGTTTTAGGTACAAATTTCTTAGACAGATACCGTGTACAAAGGCCTGAAAATTTTGCTGGATAAAATGATCGAAGCGTTGTACTGTAAGCAACTTGTCCGAATTAAAATGCATAAAAACACTTCACACCTAAGGAATTTTTATTTGGTGGTTTGCTTTCCAGTAAACTAATATATTCAAAAATGTTAACTGTAACTTCAATCGCCGTTTTCTCTCTTTTTTAATTCTGTTCTTTATTCTACTTTCTCCTTGTTATGTTTTGCATCTCTCTCTGCGTAGTAGTAGGCGTAGTATAGTTCTCCGTGTCCCGAATAGCAACCAGGTTTACAAGGCATAGGCCCTATTTTCGCCAGTTGTTCTCTATTTATACTTCTCTATCTAATTTGCATACGGTACTACACCTCCCTGAATCGGAGAGGTCGGATATCCTTGTTTTTATTTTACCATTCCTGATTATTTTCGTACTGTGTTGTCATTCCTCTTGTCTTTCTAGTTTCCTCTTTAATGGTGACCTCGGTCTCTCTCCATTTTCTTCTTCCTACTCGTCTGTCTTTTTATTATCACTTTACTCCATTCCCTGATCTGTTCCACTTTTGTAACTTAGCGTCTCTTAATTTTTTCATTCTTGCAAATGCAGCAAAAGTTCTTATCCATATTTCTGTGTTCTGGGTCGTCCAGCGAATTCAAGGATCCTATCGGCGACGCCATTGTTATGTTTTTCCGGGTTTGCTGGGCATAGCCCCCATGTTCGCCAGTTGTTCTCTATTTATACTTGTCTATCTAATTTGCATATGATACTACATTCCTCATTAACTTTTTTCTCATTTTCTTCGACTTTAATACCCTCTTGCGTCTTAATGGCTTTATCGCCTTACTTGGGTTGAAAAGATTAGCGAAAAATAAGCCAAACTTAGAACAAAGCAAAACATGAGGACTTGGTCGTAGAGTAATTGTCAGCAAATGAGTCCTGTAGACTATTTCTATTGTAGTTGATATTTCGGCAAATATTTACATTAAATCGAGTCAGTTATAATCCCAATGTGGCTCTAAAGAACTTCTGATTTCCGCCATGTTAGTGACGTCATTGTCTTGTTTTGGCTTCAGCGGGCGGTGTCTGTAATAAACTGTCAGTTGTAATGTTTCTCGCGCTTATAGAAGGAAAATGGGCTTTTAATAACCATTGGCTAATCTAATGTGAAGAACCGATCGAACTGAACGCTGTTGGTGGACAGAGACATGCATAGAGGCGGTTTCGGACGTCCAAGACATTGTAGGGAAGAAAACAATACGTGGATCGGTCGAGAGAAGATGAAATTGATGGTAGGGAGAATTTGTGCTGAAGGGAAGGAAAGAGTGATTGGAGACTGATGATGAGAAATAGAAATCCATAAACAGAGAGATGAAAAGAGACAGATAGAGAAAGGAGAAAGAGAGGTAGAAAGGAAGGGAAAGAGGGAGGGAAGCAGAAAGACAGACAGATGGAAAGAGAAAGAGAATGAGAGACAGTAAGAGAGTGAGGAATACAGAAGAGAAATTTTAATTCTAAGATAGATATTGTAAAAGATAAATGCCTATCGACACACACAAACACACATAGATAGATAGATACATACATACATATATATATATATATATATATATATATAACTGTATCTCTCACTCTTCCTTTACACTCACCTCTCACTCTCTCTACATACACACACACACACACACACACATATATATATATATATAAATACACACAAAATAAAATAGTTTCTGTTTCTACGTAATTTTTATAGATGAATATTTAAGAAAATGCTTTGTATATAATAAACAGTATTAACAACGTTTGCCTGCTTGAATGCCCGAGAAATTTCATAAAATATATGTGTCCGCCGAGAGGAATCGAACCTGTATTCTACACAGAACCGTCATATAGCCTGACGTGCTCTACCATTTAGCTACAGAGGAAGTGTCTGGTTAGCAAGGGCGAATGGCTGTTTTTAAACTACAAATTTTAAACTATAATTATCTTAATTATGATTTGAGCATTCGATAATATTTACATTATTCGGACTAGTGTCCTCATCTTTGTTGCCATGTTTATCACAACGTTTCGGCCGTTGTGGGCGCCGGCCTTCTTCAGGTGGTTGGAATGTCCGAATAATATAAGTAGTATACATAATAGCTCAGAAATATAGACATATAATGAGCGTTCAAGTTATTCATAATTTATAATACTCATGTCTGTATATGTCAATGTGTATCAATGCGTGTATATATATATATATATATATATATATATATATATATATATATATATATATATATATATATATATATTTTAATATATATATATGTAACAATGTATCTCTCCATCTCTCTCCTATATATATATATATATATATATATATATATATATATTATGCACATATATATATTTCATTATCTGTCTATATTTCTGAGATGAGGTATTATATACACTATTTACATCTCAGAAATATAGACAGATACTGAAAACCGAAACGTTGTAATAAATATGGCGACAAAGATGAGGACAATAGTCTGAATAATGTAAATAGTCTATATAATACCTCTTCTCAGAAATATAGACCGATGCTGAAATGCCGAAACGTTGTAATAAAATATAGGGACAAAGATGAGGACAATAGTCCGAATAATGTAAATAATGAAAGTTAAATATATATTTGTTAAGGTTAAGATATACAGTTCGAGGTCAAAAAGTTGGACGCACCCATAGAAAGTCGATTTTTGTATTTTTATCAAGACAAGTGAGTAATAGAATTCGTTTATTAATACAGGGTATTCGTACATATGTATATTATACAAGTCAAAATAGCATTTAATAACGATAACGATCCCATTGCATACTGCCTTAAAGAATAAACGTTATCTACAGGAAGCGTGACAAGGGTAAATTGCAACTCTTCCAGTGGCCTAGTTAGAATCCTGACCTGAACCCGACTGAAAACCTTTGGGCGATAATGAACAAGCGTGTCCCTAATAGGAAAGTTAACACAGAAGATGAGCTTTTTCGTGAATGAAAGGAGTGCAGGAGAAATTCCTGATTTATACGGCAATTTATCCATCGCACTATAGTAAATTTAAAACTGAAACTCCATAATTACCAATAACACTTATGAAAAAAAAATCTTTCGACTTCCTTTCTTGTTTTAATTATCATTAAAACTTCCATGTTACTGACTTATTCAGTCCATGATATTCTCAGCATCTTTCTGTAGATTCACATTCTTTTTGCCGCAAATCTCTTCTTCATCTGGAAAGATATTGCCCGCCAATAAAATAAAATAATGAAAAAATCAAAGATCAAAATTTTAATAGGGACAATTACGGTGTTCTTTTCTCTCTCTCCTCAAAACGAATCTCATGGAAAATACAAAAAGAAATACAACTAAAACATTAAACAAATATTTCACCTACCCACCTCAGCTTTTCTTTCACTAATATTCATGATATCCGTTCCAACTTTTGCACCGTAGAATCTTTCCTCTTGAAACGGTCGCAAGATATCTTTGCCCTCTGTGAAAAAAACTTAAATTCTTCCATTGCTACAAATGAATTCTTGGTTCCAGGCCATTGTACCCTTTGCCGAAAAGATTTCAGCGTTCACATACATGGCCTTAGTGTTTACATCCCAGATAATTTTCCGATGGCTAGACTTCATGTGCTTCCGTCTTTCGTTACTAAGCTAACATTTTGCTTTATCGCCCCACTTTTCCCCAAAACTGCAGTATATTAGACATAATTGTTGACAGTATAGAAAAAGGCACTTTTTCTCTACCCATATGCGAACCTCTTCGTCTTAGGTGATTTTAATATTCCCCTCAACACAATGGCTTAAACATTTCTAAAGGAGATGATGTTGCCGGTGTTTAAACATTAAATTTTTCCATTGGCCAATCCTTTACTCAAATTGTGAACTTCCCTGCTCGGTCCACTGAGCTACATGCTTCTCTAAATTATTACCTTACCTCCTTTCTACGCTCTTGCCAAGATTCACAACACTGCTCTATTGGTACTTCTGACCACTCTGTGGAAGCTATGAATATTTCCTTCCAATTCTCTATTAAAAAGTAACCACCTATCCACAAGATCTCTTTTCGTTACCAGCATGCTGATTGGGATTCACTCCGTGATTTTCTTCGTGACTCCACTTCGATTGATATCTTTAAACTCTCAACTGAAAATTGCGCCACTGTGGTTTCTTCTTGGGTCAAAGCTGGCATGGACGATATCATCCCTTCTCGGAAATACCAAGTGAAACCACAATCCTCTTCATGGATCCCAACAGCAAGTTTATTCGCTATAGCACACGGTAAACACTATATTCGGTTATATCAACGTGACGGCTCTCGCATCAGCAGGACCCTATTCGATGCTCGCATTAGATGCAAGAAAGACCTCGAATGAACAATGTTCTTGGTTAC